GAACCGCTACAACAACAACAACCATGAGGGGAGGTGTTGGTTTAAGTGCTACGATATAGTCATGCTACCGGGGGAAGAGGTGAGGGAAAAGCTTCAAAATAAGTAAATAATTATAAGTGTTAATAGAATGTACATAATAAATAATTTGTTAATATTTATGGAGTTTTTATTTACTCATATGATATTTTAGATAATAAGCTTTTATACAAATACGTTGCAATAAACAAACAATCACTCGTTTAAAATAAATTTTTTTTTTAATAAATATGTTGAAGACATGAGTGTCGATCTCATAGCGTTCTGAAAGAAAAATTTAAATTAAATAAATATATATATGTATATATATAAGAAATTTTATACTCACCATGAATTGTTTACCCTAATCTGAAATACTCACCCTTTATCCACTGGAATACGTACCTGAATTTCCAATTCCTGTAAAGCAAAGAAAATTGAAGGAAAACCGATAAACGAAATTTCCCCTCCTTTCCCGTTAATGTAAAACTAAGCTAAGTACTTTGTTATAAATAATAAGCTTACAGTATTTTTAAGTTCAATCGCTTGCTTACCTCATTACAGTACGTCTGTACATATTTGCGTGTAAAAAATAAATAAATAAAATAAAAAATAGTGTACGGGATATAAAAAATTAATCTTTTATTTTATTCAACATCGAAAGTTGAATATGCTGCCGAAACCCTTTTAACGGAGTGAATCTAAAAAAAAAAAACAATAAAAAAAAACGCGAAAAACGGCGTTAAAGCAAGCGATAGTCGCGAATAAAATTTTTTTTTAAACGCACGAAAAGTGGTTTAGCAAAATAAATATATAAAGTTAGAAGTTGAAAAAGTAAACAAAGTGAAATTAAGTGAAAATATATAAAACAAAAAATTCAACTTATGCGGTCGCTGAAAATAGCACATACGCACATACATATATGGAAGAAAAAATTAAAAAATATATGTATATAAATAAATAACTAAAACAAAAAGAGTATATACATATAAATATATATAAAAAAAAAATATAAATAACGTTCGGTGAAAAAATTTGAAAAAATAGATATACATACATATATACGAACATACATAACGTTCTGTGGAAAAAAAAAGTGAAAAAAATTATATATATATATATATATATACGTACATGCGTACATACATATAAATAACGTTCGGTGAAAAAAGTGAAANGAACCCCCCACATTAACAAGCCAAGCGCAGCCCACAGCGCAATCTCAACCCCATCCCAATTCACAACACTACCTTAAAGTACCTGCTTGTGACACAAGTCCATTTTATGGAGGTTATGAAGAATGGCCCGCCTTCCGAGACCTTTTCACAGCAGTATATGTAGAACATCCCATGCTATCGAATGCGCAAAAGTTGTTTTACCTGAAGACGAAGATACGGGGAGAAGCAGCACGGGTAATTCAACAGTATTCGGTAAGCGACTTGAATTTCGAGCTTGCATGGCAAGCACTCTCATCCCGATATGAAAATCTCCGGTTACTAGTAGATAACCAAATAGATACCCTATTAGATCTCAAAAAAATCTCAGTGGAGAGCGCGGAACAAATTCAAAAGCTCCATCTTACGATAACAAACAGTCTCTCCATCCTCAAATCTCACCAAATTTCCACACTCGACTGGAGCCCACTCTTGGTGCGTATATGCACTTCTCGATTACCTCGAGAATCCCTGTCTCTATGGGAACAGCAAGTTAGCAACAGACAAGAGACCTACCCCTCTGGTCTGAAATGAGCAACTTCTTGACAACTCATTTTAAAGACTGGGAAAAACTCAACCCAAAAAATCCGAAACCTCAAATTCCAGACTCCATCCCTAGGCCAACTCACAGGCCGACACTTAACTCTACCTTCTTGAATAGGAATAAAATGCACACACTACATACTGAGTCAAGAAGACCAGTGTCGTGCAAACTCTGTAATTCAAACCATTTTATGGTGATGTGCGTCAAATTTTGAGAACTTTCCGTCCCCAATCAGAACAAGTTCATAAAAGATCACAATTATTGTAGAAATTGTTAGGCGTGCTCTCACACCGAGAGAGATTGCAAGAGCAATTTTACATGCATCTACTGCCAAAGAAGGCATCACTCACTCCTCCATTACTCTAATAATAGCCAAACAGTAACAATCAAAGATTCTCAAGAAAAACTGTCACATCCCAAGTGGCAATTGACGAAGAACGGCCCTGTACCTCTCAACAAGCAGCAAAAGCGTCAAACTCTACTCCAAAAGAGGATGATAAAATTCTTTCACACTTCTCCAGCAGTAGAAAAAGAACATTGCTTCCCACAGGAATCACCCCGATTCTCCATAAAGGAGAAATAACTCAAATAAGAGCACTTATAGACCAAGGGTCTCAAAAAACCTTCATAACCTCTCGTGTCCAAAAATTACCAGGACTTCCCACCACAAAAACTCATTACGAGATTCTAGGAATGGGCGGACACACGGTACAAAATTCAAATAAAATTTGTTCATTAACAATATGCTCCAACGATAGCAAAATAAAAATCGCAACCCAAGCGATTATACTTCCACAGCTAACCCAATTCTTGCCGTCATTCAAGATCACATATCTTGATATAAAACGATATGCCTCTCTACCTTTAGCAGACCCTAGCTGCTTCGCTCCAGCAAGAATCGACATGGTAGTAGGTAGTGATATCCTACCGAAAATACTAGTCCCAGGCCTTAAAAACGACATCGGTGGAAGCCTCATAGCCCAGAATACCATCTTTGGATGGATTTTAAGCGGACCTGTAGCACAATCGATTACATCACTCAGTACGCAAGTAATCGAGACCATGGTCGACCCCTTAGGTGATCTGCTGAAGAAATTCTGGGAACAAGAAGAAGTGTCAGGAGCCCAGACACAGACGGATGAAGACACCATCTGCGAGGACCTCTATCGAAATACCACGTACCGGAGAAATGACGGTCGATATGTGGTAAAACTCCCCTTCAAACCGGAATTTCCCAACACGATGGCATTAGGACACTCAAGACTCTCAGCTCAACAGCAATACATCAGCATCGAACGAAACCTGGAGAAAAAACCGGATCTCCAAAAAATCTATGCAGAGGTCCTAGAAGAGTACCAAACACTCGACCATATGGAGCGAACGAATGCCCAAGAAATTATACGGGACGGCAAATACTTCTCATTCTATCTGCCACATCACGCAGTAATCACTAAAGTCCGAGTGGTATTCAATGCGTCTAAACTGTCTCACTCAGGTCTCTCCCTAAACGACGTACTGCATACAGGCCTCATACTGCAAAACGTTCTTATGCTTGTAATAATCAGGTGGCGGTTATATAAGTATGTTTTTAACGGCGATATTGAAAAAATATATCGCCAGATATATGTCCACAAGAAAGATCAAGATTTCCAACGGATTCTCTTTCTCAAATCCGCAAGTAGCACAGTAGGAGACTACGAATTGAAAACAGTAACGTTTGGTTTAAACTGTGCACCATACCTAGCCATAAAAACACTCCATCAGCTGGCTGAAGACTCCCAACCAAAATTCCCAAATGTCGCAAATACTGTAGTCAACGAAATTTATGTTTACGATATACTCTCCGGCGGATACGATCTGAACTCAACAAATACATCAATATCCCAAACAATCGAAATGTTCAAATCCGCCGGATTCCCGCTCAGGAAAATCACAGCAAATCACAGATCACTGTTAAACGAAATACCTGAAACCCATCTCCTATACTCAGACTTTCTGCAATTGCATGATACGAGCACTACAAAAACTCTCGGAATTAGATGGAATGCATTGACAGATACATTCTCATATTCAATTGACCCCCTTCCTGACAGCAACACTGCCACAAAAAGGCAAATATTGTCAGCAGTCGCGAAGCTTTTTGACCCTGCAGGATGGCTATCGCCTATAATGATAACTGCCAAAACCCTACTTCAACAGCTCTGGATGGAAGGAACAGACTGGGACGAAACAGTCAAGCCACTCTCGCTTCTCAAATAGAACTCGTTTCGGAATAATCTCATGGCTATCACCGAAATAAGGATTCCACGTTTGGTAGAATTCTTCTTGATTTAGGTACGCGAGGTATCAAATCTCAGGAGCTTGTCAACTCCCCTCTATGGTGGTCCGGACCGGAATGGTTAACCAAACCATCAGAGTTCTGGCAGAAAACTGCCACCTCGCACTCCTCTCCACCAGAACAGCGACAAGCAAAGGCACATCACGCAGCCGAAAACCCGGATCTGTTGGAACGATTCTCATCCTATCCAAGGGCACTCAGAGTAGTAGGTTACATGCTGAGATTCGTAAACAAGGCAAAAGGGTTGCCAGCCCCTTCCTCACGCTGCATTACCCAAGATGAAATGAACCAAGCAAAAACGTTACTCATTCGGAACGTTCAGCATCAACACTAGGATCTCCACTCTCTCAGCATCCAAGGCAATCCATAAGAAGGACCCGCTCTTAACGCTCAACCCGTTCTTAAACAAAGCAGGGGTGTTACGCGTGAATGGACGTCTCCGTTATCCCGAGCGACTCAAGACTCTGTACTCTCATTCTCGGCTTCCTACACTCGACGTTACTTCATGCCGAAAAGCAATTAACGATTCGTATGATCCAACAAGAATACTATATCCCCCGTCTGAAGCAGAAAATAAAAACTTGCATTTTTCATTGTAAACCTTGCACCCTATATAAACAAAACACGAAGTCACAAATGGTGGCAGCACTACCCCCCGAGCGCACAACCTACTCACTTCCATTTCAAACCACTGGCGTTGACTTCGCTGGATCCTTTCTGGTAAAAACGTCAACTCTCCGAACAGCATCATACTCAAAGGATTATGTTTGTGTTTTTGTATGTTTTGTCACAAAGGCCATACACCTTGAGCTCTGTTCATATTTAAGTACTGAAGCGTTCAAAGCCGCAATTTGCTCGTTTCGTCGGCAGACGCGGTATACCATGCAAAATGATGTCAGACAATGGACGAACACTTATTGGAGCAAAGCGTAGTCTCAATCTCATCACAATTCTCGGAGAGATATCTGAAGACATCAGCAGGAAATATACCGTCCATGGCCTCACCTGGCAATTTATTCCACCATATGCACCCCATATGGGAGGACTCTGGGAAGCAGCAGTGAAGAGTTTCAAAATCCACTTCACGAAAATCGCGAGCAATCATAAGTTCACATTCGAGGAATTCACTACTCTTCTCGTGCGCATTGAAGCGGTCTTACACTCCAGACCGATCTCCCCAATGTCGCAATACCCAGACGATCTGAACGCTCTAACACCAGGTCATTTTCTGCGCGGAGCCCCCATACACTCAATCCCAAAACCAACCTCGGAAAACCTGTCACTCATAAACAAATGGCAAAGGCTGAAAGTTCTACACCACCAATTCAGCAAACGATGGAAGACAGAATATTTGCAAGAATTACACAAACGAAATAAATGGAAAGGACAGGAATCCAATCTCCGTGAAGGAGATCTCGTCATCATTAAAGATGGCCTTCTACCACCGAAAGAGTGGAAGTTAGGTCGAATTGTAAACCTCCATCTCGCCCCCGATCAGAATGTTCGCGTGGTCGACATACGTACTCAAAGCGGTATAGTCACTCGCAACACCACTTAACTCTGCGTTCTACCACCAGCTTAGTACATTTCCCTCCAAACATATACTCTCCCCTCTCTCAAATTTATACGAGACCTTCTACACACGCATCTCAAACTTATAACGCTTTTCGACCCTTTACAATCATTACAGAATACTCGACTTCCGCAAGTGCCATTTATGCTGCCGCCCGCATTCCCTACGGTACTGTCGTGCTTTCCTGGCGTTGACGCCCGACGAGAGGTACGAGCCTGCAAAGGCACATCGCTATTGCATTAATTGTCTAGCGACTTCACACACCACCGGAGTATGCGATTCCCCAGACAGTTGTCGTCGGTGCGGTGTTGTCTAGTGTCAGCTTACATAGCCGTATAAGTCTGGTGGGGATACCAAGCTCAGACCAAGCTCCTTCGAGTGCTGTCCAAGGCTACTCTAAAACCGACGAAGAGGTGGTGTGTGTCAATTCTCTTTTCACCGGCCTTTTTCAGGATCTGGCGCATTATGAATGCCTGGTCAATGGTTGACTTACCAGGTCTGATGCCACTCTGACAACGTGCAACCAGTTTGCTGACGGTGGGTTTTAGTCTTTTACACAATACGCTTGCCAGGATCTTATAGCGATGTTAAGGAGGCTTACTCTAAGTTAATTGGCGCAGACTGTGGGATCGTCTTTTTTGCTGATTGGCTCAGTACACTTGAATTCCAATTGCCAGGAATGCTTTCATCCGACCATATTGTGCAAAGAATTTGATGCATGCACGTGATCAGCTCTTCACCGTCATATTTGAATAACGTGGCCGGTAGTCCATCGGTCCCCGTCGGTTTGCTATTCTTTGGACGGGTGATTGGTGATCGAACTTCTTCATAGCCGGGTAACGGAACAACTTTTCCATCGTCATCAGTTGGAGTTTCGCACTCACCATCTCTGGGTGTTTCATTTTGACTGCCACTCAGCCTGCTGGAGAAGTGTTCCCTCCATATATTCAGTATACTCTGGGCATCGGTCACTAGCTCACCTCCCTGGGTCCTACAAGAGTTCGCTCCGGTCTTAAAATCTTTCGTGATTCGGCGTAATGTTTCGTAGAATTTTCGACCGTTATCCTTGTCGGACAGGTTCTCAAGCACCTCTTACTCTTGCATTTCGGCCTCTTTCCTTTTTTCCCTGCGAATGCGCCTTGCGATCACAAGGTTGCGAAGAAGACACTCTAATTATTCTCCACCGTGACATGACATACTTCATCAAAAGTCGACAAAAACACTGGAAAGGCTTTAGGTTAACAACGCAAACGTCGTCAAGCATCCCTAAAACTTTACGTGGAGCCTTGCATGCGTGTAGATTTTGCAACCAACTGTCAAAAAGCTAGAATGTTGTCGGTTCATTGAACCACTTAAAGAAACACGACCTTAGATATGCTACAGTCAACCATATTTCGCGCACCGGCGAAGTCGATCAGCCTCAGCCCATTTGAGGATGTTTCATAGTGGAGGCTGATATCAGTAATATTACATATACTAGAACTTTTGCAATCTAGTCCAGATTTTACCTAAGGATACTAATACGATTCCAGCCTATGGAAAACTCGTAAATTTGTCCTTTAAATACTGGTATAGTTCAGGTTTACAACAATTAGTGTTATTTCGTTTTCAAAATACTAGTATTTAACTAAAATATTTGCATACTGCAATGGATAGAAATAGTGAATACACTGGGTGTGTTAGCCCAGCCTAAACGTTCAGTACTCTCTTTTGCTCATCTGTTATATATTTTCTTTCTTTCGAGTTACGGATATATGTTTCAGTTGCAGCTCTCAGTCAATCTATATAGCCAAAAACATATACTTTCTCTCTCTGTGTTACATCAAACATTTATTTATTCTCTTTCATACAAACAATATAATTTGTCTCTTTTGCGCATTTCTAGCAAAGGTCGTTATCAGCTGATCGACGGAATTTATTTTTTGCTTTATCTTTGGGTCGAATATTTTTATACTCACGTTACTGAATTGCAAAATCGCTTATGGTGACAAAGCGAGTAGTATAATTGAAAAGGGTTCAACCAACCATTGTTTATTATGTAATAAATATCAATTTGCTTAGCTATACACGACGACTATTTTGCAACTTTCACATTCAACTATTTCACTTTGTGCCGATGATGTCATCCACAAGTTCACTTTTTAATTGGCTAGCGCTACGTTGTCCGCTCTTTTATATACCTCATCAAATGTTCGCACAAAATGTTCTAATATATTCAGAGCTGTCAGAAGTTAACAAAATCTTGAATGGAATTGGTAATGTAACGCCAGTTTCTTTCATAATTTTTATTTTTTTCTGCTTTCATATACAAATAGTCTTTGTCTTCAAATCAATGTTTGTGTGTTAGCGTCTTTCTTTATGATTCTCCTCTCTTTTGTTTTGATTTGTCAAATCTCGGGGGCCAATTAGATACCATTCGATTTAATGTAATTTGTTGGTAGCTTATCGTTTAGATTAACATGCAGAAACTGGTTTTTAATAACCTTATTTATGGTTCAATTTGATAGAATATTTTTTTTGATTTTTTTCATATGGGAGGCTTCTTATCTGAAACCGCTTGGTTTAATTTAAGTAATTTTGTGAGAACTGCCCATGTTCGAGTATTGACAAGCCATCTTTGTTGTTTGTTTTTGATTGCCCACTACCATATTGCTTTCTGCTGATCGAGTTCATTCAAATAATTCAAATTCGGATTTGAACTATCTACATATATTTTATTATCACTCTTAATTTAATATAAATACATGCAATTAAGGCAAGGCAAAGCTCGCTGGGTCTGCTGGTCTCTACATAATACAAACTTAATTGCTCCTCCACATTTTTTGGCGCATTTATAACACAAAATCCAAAATACGGTTTCAAATATGTATAATATAGAAGTAACTGTGAACGCCACTCACGGCGAATATATTAACTTGGTAGCATCCCCACACATACTTCATTTCTCGATTCTGTTATTGTAACCTTTTTCTCTTTTCTGTTGTAATCTCGAAAAATAAATACGTACTTGCGTGAGAAGAAAGTAAGGTGAACTTGTTTGTAAAATTAAAAATCTTTATATATTTTTCTACGACGATTTGATCGCCCTTAACACAGTACCCTGCCGATACCATGCACTTATGCCAACGTCAATTATGACATTGACATGAAATTTGCCGTAGATGTCAATAACAGTGCTACCAACATTAAAACCAAGGATTAACCCGAAATGTTATACGCGCGATATTTCGTACAGTTAACTAACTTTCGAAACTTAAAGAAAGTCATGGTTTGTTTGAGCAATCCGAAAACTAAAGACGCGAAAAATATTATGAACGACAAATAGCACGCACCTGTTTCCCAGTTCACGCAGGGACATCATTAACATCGCGGGTGAATACTCTCGTCCAAGGAAAAGCTAAACTTCTAGATTTCGTCGAGAACATACCAACTTATGGTCCTGACAAGTCGAAGCAGCAGGAATTATTTCCGACAAAGAACAGTCCAAACAACGGTCAACTGCCCACATATGTCATGCACGAGCAAGCAGTTGTGGCTACGAAGTTAAATTTTGGCCTTAGACGACCGAAAAATTCGCATTTTTTGACGCGCTATGACCTGATGGTAGATTAAAAAAGCAGACCACTGATCGATAAAACAACAAAAATCCACGCAAATGGCAAACCCCGATTCGAAAACAACGCAGGCATCAAACTCGTTACTGACTCACATAAATACTCAAGCTTATTTTCCCAATTCAAAGATCTATCTGCGCCATCACAAAATAAACCAATCCCAACCTCGATTATTTTCTAAATCCTTCGGGTACGATCTCTGGATTGTTAAATAAAAACTCGCCAACTTAATTTGCAGTATCGTTCATTATANCAGTGTTGCGAAAATGCGAGGCGAATGTCAAATGAAAGGGAGAAGCCGATAACTAGTACATTCTAGAAACGATAAAACAAGAACCTTCGATAGCGAACAAATCGATGCTTCTACGCTTTCGTCTGCGAGCAGCCGACTGCTACATAAGGGGACACTCAGCTGCCAAGAAGTTAGTTATAAAGTGAACTGGTTGGCGTTAACATCAGTGAAGTCGTAAAGTAAACGCGTTGGAGATTACATTTAAGTAAAGTAAATTGTGAAGGTTTATGCAAGTGATTGTAGCTAGCTACTGAGTGAATAAAGACTATTCGATAAATTCTTTATAAAGAAAGAAACTGCAAATTAAGTTGGTGAGTTTTTATTTAACAATCAAGAGATCGTACCCGAAGAATTCAGGAAATAATCGAGGGTGATTTAGTAAAATCGTAACAACTTTAACCTGTCTGAAACCTATTTTGGTATTGAACAGCTCGGAGAGGTCCTTAACAATTTTGACCGCGCTTCTGTTGTTGTCTAGTGTCAGCTTACATGGCCGTATAAGTTTTGCTCCTTCGAGTGCTGTCAAAGGCTGCTTTAAAATCGACGAAGAGGTGGTGTGTGTCAATTCTCTTTTCACCGGCCTTTTTCAAGATCGGGCGCATTATGAATGTCTGGTCAATGGTCGACTTACCAGTTCTGAAGCCACACTGACAAGGTGCAACCAGTTTGCTGACGGTGGGTTTTAGTCTTTTACACAATACGCTTGCCAGGATCTTATAGCGATGTTAAGGAGGCTTACTCTAAGTTAATTGGCGCAGTCTGTGGGATCGTCTTTTTTGCTGATTGGCTCAGTACACTTGAATTCCAATTGCCAGGAATGCTTTCATCCGACCATATTGTGCAAAGAATTTGATGCATGCACGTGATCAGCTCTTCACCATCATATTTGAATAACGTGGCCGGTAGTCCATCGGTCCCCGTCGGTTTGCTATTCTTTGGACGGGTGATTGGTGATCGAACTTCTTCATAGCCGGGTAACGGAACAACTTTTCCATCGTCATCAATTGGAGTTTTGCGCTCACCATCTCTGGGTGTTTCATTTTGACTGCACCTCAGCCTGCTGGAGAAATGTTCCCTCC